ACGATACAATTAAAGGGTCGTGGTTGACTGGGCTGTCTCAGTTGCTCTATCGTCACGAAAGTTGAGCAACTGTTCGGTATTGGTGGGATTGACGTAAGAGATTTATCAGAACCTCATCAGCCTGAATTGCAACTATAGTTAAGAGCTGGCCTACGTCAAGCGAGATAGGTAACACTCTAGAGTTGCAGAACGCTTTCAGGCCTTCGAACTACGATTTAGTCGAAACGTCAGGCAAATAAATATTCCACTATTGAAAACCTGTTTGGCACAGAAGCATTGACTGATAATAGTGAAGCCAGGAGAATTCCCAATGTCGGTCGCAGGTTGATGGTAGTATTTTGCCATCCATCTGCAACCGACTTTGGGATTTCTCCTGTGTCCTATGCAGGTCCGCAGAAGAATTTCCTGGTTTTCTTTGTGATTTATGGCCATCATTCAATTCTTCGATGCCAAAATTCCACCACACAGATTATGATACTCACCTACGTCAGTCATATGGTTGTGATCCGCATAGAAGGTATACCCGTATACCCTATCATTCCAAGTTCCAATACGTGTTTTGTTATATGGGTGAAAGGGATTGATTTTCATTGTAAGTACGCCCTTTTGTGATTGTTACTTTCCTGCAGCCCATGTGATTTGTGATGGAAGATATTCATGATTCTAGAAGTTGCCTCAAAAATACTTAGTGATCTTTGCTGCCAACACCCCATAAGCTATTTACGCTTCCTGCGAATGTCGATCATCCAGAAAGTTTACGTGATCTGTGAAGCCAAAACTTGGCTTGGGTTTGAGCGGCGATTATGAACAGATTTTGCTTGACATCAGCGTCAAATTGAATATTCAAATCAGCCGAAACGGTCTGAGCTCCCCTAAAGGTTCTCCCGCACCACTCTTTGTACTGAAGGTCGTTATGACCAGCATTGTTCCCGAGGTAAATGTTAAAGCTTCTCTTTGTATGTCCAAGTCTTCTCATTTTAAATATTCCGCATTTCTTTGTGAAGTGAAATTAACAATATCAAGAACTTATCTTTCTAGCAAATAACTGCTTTTACGCTACCCGTTCCCCCTTATCCTATTCCCTTAGTGGATTTAAAAAATTCCAGGAAGACCCGGAACCTATCAGTTCAAATGTAAAAGATACGCTAAAATGCAAAACCCCTTGGGCATCGATCTATCTCGCTGGAGCTTGTGCGTTTGTTCAAGCTGTTCAATTTGGCATATTCACTAGCTCAATGTGGCCCTATTTGAGGAAGGTGAGTTTGATGAAAGCTACTGGACTCACACTTCTTACATGATAAATTTGCTTGTGATATTTCAGAAATCTCGTTTATTTTGAATTCAGCTCAATCCGCAAGCCATCGAAACGGAGTTCGGGTATATTCTCGGGTTATACAGTTTTGCTCAATGTATATCGGCACCTCTATTCGGGTATTGGAGTAATAGAATAGAACAGGTTGGTTTCTACTCGAAAATGGTTGTTGGGAATTAAAAAATACCACTTCCAATTCTCCTTTTTACACGATTGCTTACACCGAGTTTCAACTTCAATTGTAGCCTGTTCGCTTAACTTCTCTTTCCTTATGAAATTCCAGGTTCGCTTGCCTCTTCTTGCGGGATTCGCTTTCATGATGGCTGGGAACTCATTGTATCTTTTCCTAGAGAACGTTCCATCATCAAATGTTTTCCATGCAATGATGGTGGCACGAGTTGTTGCTGGATGTGGGACAGGTAAGATAAATTCATGCCAAAACGATCTTTTGACCAAATGAAGGAGACGGAGGGTGAAGTGATAGGAAGCTGAAACTATGAAAATCCATCAACGAGATAGGTCCTCCCCGCCACTTGTTAGTACCTCTTTCCCCTCAAAGGCAATAGATTTTTGAAAATCGTACAAGTTCGGGGGTTGACGCTTATTTTTTGTTACGTTTCCATGGTTTAAACTGTGTGTCTACGACCCCCATTCTTTGAAAAATTCTCATCCCATCTTTCATCAAAACACATGGTCTTAAGTGGATCTGTCGATTTCAAAATTTTTCCAAGTAGCTGGATATGCTTTCTGGCAAACAGTTATCTGTAATGTGCTTGTCCTCGGTTATAGCAGTTTCATTTGTAAAAGAATATAACTAGAAAACAACATTTTTGAGGAAACATGTCGCTTCTCAGAGCCTACGTATCGATGTCGTCGTCACGAAGTGATCGGTCCCGTGCTATCGCGTGTGTTAGTGGTGGAATCGCGATCGGTACTCTGGTAGGGCCAGGTTGGGAAGAATTTGTTCAAGAAAGACATGTATATTTGATGAAGCTCCTATATTTGGCTATACTACTGTTCATAATAAAATTATTATTTGTGGACGTAGCTTCAGCCTTTCGATGCCATAGCTTCAAAGTGGGGCATCCTTGCTCGGGTACGAGGACACGAATTTTCATAAATTTTGGAATTTTTCTGGGTTGAAAGAGTCTAATGGGAACTTTTCATTGCTAGAAATTCGAGTAGAAAACTGTGCCACTGAGCTTCTTTTCTTTATCTGTGTATAGTGCTTTGCAATTGAACATACTCAGAACTCTACATTTAGCATTTCAACTGCTATTCACACCTCTCGGACCAGATGGCATCCGCGTTCTACCATTTCTTTCTCTAAGTATCTATAGCGCGCCTGCATTATTCTCATTAGTATTGAACGTAGCTGGAATGATGGTCATCCTCTTCGCCTTCAAGGAGGACTATACCGTAATGCATGCAGCAGCATCTGCAAAGGTGAGATGTCTTGC